CAATGTCAAGGAAGGATCCTTCAGAGCAGCCGCGGCGCAAGGATTTCAATTGTGGGTGGGCCAATGTAATTTCGGCTGGGCCTGTTCAAATGTTTTTTCGCGATTTTGTTAATAATCTAATAAAAATAGGCTATGCCAAGAATGACATTCTTGTTTACTGAGAGCATAGTCGATGTGTTTCCAGTCCCTGTAACCATGGCGACTGAATGTATCTTCTCCGCCGGCCCCGCCTCTCTCTCTAAAATGCCGGCACATTTTACAAAACACACTGTCCTTGCTAATGCTATATTCCATGAATGTGTACTTGTCATACCAGTGGGCAGCGGAGCTCCTTTTCTTTTGTCCGAAAAGTGTCTGAGTGTACTTTATGAGCTTTGGCTGTGTAGCCGCCGGGTCATCTATGGCTGATATAGGTCCGGCACTGGGATGCTATTTTCTGTTTTCCTGCAACGGGTGCTACGTCCCGCAGAGGGACTGAGCTCAGCGGGGGCACAACATTAAACACATTCTCGTCTCTCTGAGGCGGCACCTGCTGTGAGGATGATGAGTGTGGTGGTTCCGGCGGCGGCGACTCTGTTCTTACTCTTTTAAAAAAACCTGAACATCGATTGTTGTGACATCGTTAGTGAGCGCAGTATATTTGTTGTGTCTGTCCAGTCCACTGTCTTCCTTCGTCTGCACGCGGCCGCGAGACTACGATGTGTTTGCTCCCGCGCTTCGACTATGAGTTCGGCCTGATTTGCTCTTATTTTATTATTTAATTGTTAATTTTGATCAAAAATGTTGGAAACTATATTTTCGCCCAGTCATTTTTGATCAATGAATGGGTGGGCCCAGTGCCAGAGTGGGTGGGTCTAGGCCCAGTAGGCCCACCCATAACGCCGCGGCTGCTTCAGAGCCTCCAAATAAATAATTAAAATGAACCTTGTTTGGACTTTGCCTCTTTTCTTGATATTTGTGGTTTATGCTACAATGTGCACCAAGATGTGTAAAAGAGGTTTGCAGACATCAAGTATGATATATGAATACACATTGTATTATTGATTGGTGATGGTGATTTTATGATTTTCTTATGGCTGCTTATCCTCCAGGACTTTTTCAAGGCTGCAAACAGAAGGAGAACGTGTTATGTTAGTTTAGTGGTTCTCTCCTGGAGAGATGATCCTTTTATAAATACAGTTACTCAAGTACATCTTCGATCTTCGCAAATCAGTTATGAGTCTTCAAACAAATCACGCTCAATTTAAGGCGGGGCCTCTCATATGACGCACACCTGCACACTTGCTAGCCTGTTCCATTCTACGTTCTCCGAATGCTAGGAAGGATTCTTGCCTAGCCTCTGAAGGACCTGACTCGGAAGGACATGTCCTACCAAGGAAGCGTCCTCAACTTTGAGAAACAGCCCCTGTATGAGTATGACTGAAGCAAAGCCCTATAAAGAGACCACCACGAGACGATCAAGCATTTTGGAGTTCCGCTGTTGCAACTCTTTCAGTTCTAGGGCTTTGGTACAACTTACTGCTTATGAGAAAGAAACAGATATCCAGGCTCCTGTCGCCATCTGGTGGTGAAGAGAAGAGCAAAGAGGGGCAAACACCTGTCTGCAAGGTTTCTATTTCATATTCAGAAGCAAATCATTGTGTTTTATTGCAGTGTATAAAAGGTTAAACAATAACAAAGCACTTATATGTAAATACTGATTAGAACAACGACTGGACTTTATACTTGGTTTGTGTATATGTGAATCTACAACAATAATTAAAATGTGTACTTTAGTTGTGTTAACAAATACAACACAACTCAAATATGCACTCACTGCAGTTCTTATATAATAAATATGGATTTAAAGTCTTGTTTCTTATGTATATTGTTTCCAAAGAACAGGGGTATATCATAACTATGCAATATGTCACGAGTAATTATGGATAAGGAAATACTTTTTTAATTACAGTGTATATTTAGTCAAATATATTTAGCCACCAATGCGTTTTCTGCTCATTGCAGAGAGCAGAATTAAAATCCTTCAGCGTAGAAATGTACCCAAGTACAGAAATAAAAACAAAGCAAGTCCTGGTGACCTGAAGCTCATCAAACCAAAAGGTACAAACTGGTTCATCAACACTTTGACCAAGATAGAGAAACTATGTTTTAATCTTGTATTCATGAGTTATTTGATCAACTTGGAAAACATGATGCATTTATATACAAAACTAAAAGAACAACACACGTTCTTAAATGATTGGTTTCTTTATTATTAGGTCCACCATTTTGTACACAACAGGAAAGCATGGATTTGATCAACAATATATAGACATATTTAAAGTGGGGAATCAGAAGAGCTCATCGTCATCTCGTTATACATCCAAGGACCTGAGGAGAGAGGAGAAGGAGACATGTTCAGATGAGAGGAAGTCAATATCCTTCATGAGCTGCTGCACATTTTAACACGCATTAACTTCCTAAATTCAGAATCAAGTTTATCACCAGGTACACACAGAGGGATTAGCTCTGGTGTATTGTGGTGCAAACATAAACAACTTCAGACCATAAGTTGCAAAAAGAGGTAAAAAATATACATTTAAATACAAAAGAACCTAATTACCGAAATACCGGTTACTGGCGGCTTGTACGGTATACATATAAAATCAGATCCGGTTTTCGATACTCTCTTTTTTAAATATAAAGTGAGGCGTATCATCGTATCCTTAAACTCACGCCCAAAACCGTCGAAATTACGATGTCAATTTCACCGTGAAACTCCGCAAACGAGTCACTGTGGAGTGTGGGCCGCGACTCCATTTGCTTACTCTTGGAGAGGTAAGATACTTCTAAATGTTTCTCTGGTCAGGTGTTGTCTCTGAAGAGAAAAGGATGACAGTCGGAGGTGTAGCTGCCTTATATACTGTGAGGCCTGCGCGCGCATTCGGGTAGGCTCGCCCTGATTGGCCGGCTACATTTATGTAAATTCAGTGTGAGAACGCTCGCGTGTCATTGATGAAGAGTAGTACGCATAGAGTCCAGTAGAGGGCGGAGCCTGTGTGAGATAGAACTGACTCCAACACATTGATTGAAACCGATTTAAAAAGTGAGTTACAAAGAAGAGTAATTAGTAAATAGAGCAGGGGTGGCCAAACCTTTTTCACCGAGGGCCTCATACAGAAAAATATACGAAGGGCTGGGCCCCTCAGTAGAGGTTCATTGGCTCATAAGTTCATTTATAAGTTAGCAAAACCAATCAAATGTAGGTAAGTGATGCTCGTGAGTGTTGGCAGCTCATCCCTTAAAACAGAAGCTTCAGAATGATTAAAATAAGGAGGAATAGGAACGGTGTGTTTCAAGCTTGTTATGGAAATAAGTCATTGGGCTTTTTCTTATCAACTAAGATTTGTTAGAAAATGTTTCCAGCTTTATTAGAAAAGTGGTCTCATTAACACATGAATACTACTGTGTAATATATTTGTACATATATATTTAAGAAGTACAATACAAGCCGAGCACAAGTTTAATTTGTGGGCCGTATTCCATTATACTTTCTTTATCTGCTGAGGTTTGGAGACCCCTGATGTAGAGTCATTTCTGGGGTGAAACTGTCCCTGAGACACGTGTGCAGAGATGTGCTAAAAACACATGTTGTAATGAGAGCATCGTCACCTGGAGGGTCTATAACTTGTCCATGCCGAGCTGTTCTGGAGTGGAGATGCCGAGCTCTGACAGCGTGGGCTGCAGCTCCTGGATCAGGTACGGGTAGATCTCTTTGTGAGGGCCGGCTTTGTCCTGAAAGACACAGAGGAAATAACAAATGAAGAGGATGTTGTTATGGAGAACACAGCGTACACTTACAGCGATCAGCAATACATATGGATGGAAAAGCTTGAGACTGAAGCTCTTCTTTGGGATTGGTTTTTAAATAATTTGCATATAAAACTAACTTGACTGTATTTCCCTGAGCAATATTTAACCTGACATTCTGTTTCATTGATGGATTGAAGTATGGGAAATGGACTGTACTTATATTTATCTTTATCAGGTCTCTTTGACCCCTCAAAGCTCTTTACATACTCCGAGTCATTCACCCCTCATTCATGCAGAGTGGTACCACTTGCTCTAGACACACGGACTGGGATCCTTTTCTAAATGTGGTTTTGGTCGTCCGAGGAACATATATAACATCCTCCGTTTCATCCTAATGACGTCTCCCAGTGTCCGTGAAGTCTCTTTTCTCCTTCAGTACTTCCCTTAACCCCAAAGTGATCTCACCTTAACGGCCTCCAGGATACGGATGGCGCTGGCCATGTCGTTCAGTCTCCGGCACGCTCTGAGCGCCGAGTCCACGATCTTAGCCTCGGGCACCAGGTCGTACCCGATCAGGGTGTTCATGCCTTAGATAGAATAGAATCGGAGAGATGAAACCCTCTTTAATGGTCACACATGCAGAGACAATTTCTTGTGGAGAAGATATTCGTCAGCTTTATTGAAGAGACTCAAGGTCCATTTTTAAAAGACATACACTTCAATATAAATTAAAAAAGGCAGTTATACCAATGTTTCCACAGAGGTGACTGGTATCGTACTGAGATGAGGATTTGACAGCAGCATAATGACACATTCATAATATTGCCTCAAACCATTACAAAACATGAAATGGGACAATAAATATAATATGCATATCGTATATGTGTGTCTTTGGTTCTTGAGTGCATTGGACCATCAACCTAGTTATTTAAAAATGTTGAAGTGATCCTTTTAGTTTTGTTTTGGGTTATTTATTTAATATTATTCATTTATTAAATGTAGCTTGACCTGGTGTTCTCATCTAAATGTCCTGCTGTGTCCTTTATTTGCATCTCTTGCCTGTACTATATTTAGAATAAGCAATAATAATAAGAGCAACCATTACATTGCACCGTTTTATCCAAACAATACACACAGTTTTGTTCAAAGTGGGAATAAAACCCAACTCCTAGAAACATTGGGGTTTATAACAACCAGAACACTTTTCCAGATTGACTGAAAATAGGTCTAACTTTTGACAGAATGTATTCTTTTGTCCACACTTTTCAATGAAACCCCAACTATAACCATAACATGAACCACACTATTAACAACAGAGCGAGGACACATCATCAGAAGATATTTAAAAAGCACAAAGGTACCTTTCCTCAGCTCCCAGGCATCGATGTCAGGTTTGCTGAAGTACGTCACCCAGCGGGCGTCAAACTCCTCGTCCGTCTCCACCTGGCCGTGGGAGTAACATCTGGAGGCCAATGGAGCTGAAAACATGACATACAGAGGTTAATTTACAATGTTTTTAAATAATAGTGACACAAATATTCCCGAAGTTTCAAGGGACATTTTATAGATGCTTTTCTACTAAAACCTTTGTTAAAAGCAGGAATACACAGAGTTTGTATGTTTAAAATTGGCCATATTTTGAATTAAATCAGTCAATATCTTGTAAAAAAAGATTATGAATTTGACCAGGCTTTCTTTGCCAACCTTATAATACTTAACTGTTTTTGTGATATTGATATCTAGTGAACCTAGATGTCATTTTCAATCATTGGACTATGATAACCTCACATCAAATGAACGAGTTGAGCCGGTAAAACAGGACTTTCAATGTATAAAAATGTGACAATTTTGGTATTTAAAACATTTAATAAAACACTTTTTTAATAATTACGTTTCTTTGTTATTTTTTTTAAAGGGTAAAGACAAAACTGCAGGCACTTATTCAGACATACAGTGCCACACATGACTTGTATATGCTAAGGTTTGCATGGTACGGTTATTCTTTCAAAGCTTTATGCACAATAAGGTTTTTCTTAACATAATGTAGTAACAACATACACAAGGGATTGACATTATTCAAGCTCCATTTTATTATCTTTATTTTACATTTTATCATCATGTACATAGTTATACATACACTAACCAGTATTTATTCTACTGTACAGTGTTTTATTGTCTGATCTTATTCTATTTCATGCGTGTCATTTCCCTATTAATGCATGTCAATGGCACTATTTTTGTTTTAAGATGTCTTAAATATGGTGTCTGTCATTGTTGGAAGAGCCTGAGACGTTTATTGCCAAACCTTTTCTGTAGCTATTGTGTTACCGACAATAAATACTGTGAACATATTGAATTTTGTGCAGCTTATGCCTTTTATATCTCATTTCCTCAACACATATGCCCTAAAATAAAAATAGGTAAATATAAACATAATGTCTTTGAACTGATAAGAGCGGATTGCACCCTCCAGCTGTCACGTAGGCAGGTCCCAGGTAATTCAAGACTTCCATAATCAGCTATATGCACATGTTTAACATAATACAAGTACATGGTCTGAGTTAGACAACGTGTTGCTATGCGTTTACACTGCGGCTCTTAACTCTCCTGAACAAACTAAGGAGGGTCATCACAAGGTCGTGACATTACTAGCATTAATTAATACACCGGCTTTTTATTCAGAATACAACACATGAGGTTAAACCGCAGAAAAATACTCCATTTAACACCAAAAGGATAGCCAACCGTTAAAATAACTCAATGTCACCAGAGGTTAGCTTTACACACAGCTGGAGGAAGCTAAGCTAGGTGGCTAGGCTAGGCTAACTAGCTTATTTTAGTGAGTTTTATAACAGAGAAGCTGTTTATTTTTACGGTAGATGTTTAGAGGATGGTCCTACCGGAGATGGAGGGTTTCGACCGGACCAGGCACCGGGCCCCGGTGGATGAGAGTCGGAAAACGGCTCGGAACATGGTACCTCAGTGGAAGCTAACCGACCTCCTGTCTAATAAAGAGAGAGACTGTGTGTGGACGGAGATTCACGATCACAGGGGCAAAGAGAGTCACGTGACTGACGGAGATTGCCGAAGTCTGTTTTATGTCACAGCTTCTGATTGGTCCGTTTCTTAACCTTGTTTGACTCATGCCGTGGACGTTCTCTTGTTACAGTTAAATCAGGTCAACAAATGTGATGATTTGTGAGATATATATATATATTTTTGAACATATGTTCACTATGTTTAACATAGACACTTTCCATAACAATACTGCAAATTATTCTGAGTGCTTTGCCATTGTATGCTGTGTAGTTCCTTGGTATATCCAGATTTAATGTAAATAATTCTCCATATCTTAACATATGATTCGTTTTTTTTGATTGTTTTTCCTACTTTTTTCTCTTCTTTAACTGTGTTGACGTATGCACCATGTAAGGCAAATTCCTCAGGTGTGAGCCATTCCTACAGTACATACACAAACCTGACAACCTTGCATATTCCCCTGTATATATATTAGTAATTTGTCATAGGTTGTATTGACTTGTTTTCTCTTTTTCTTTTCTATTTTCCTTAATATTTTTGAAATGCTATAACAATCGTAAGGATTATATTATTGGCTCCAAGAAAGCCACAAAATAAATGTTATTTATCATTAATTTGTTGAGCAACTCCACTGCCCAGTTTACACCAACAGAGGGAGCTCTTGGTATACAAATATAGGCTTTCCTGCACCCAGGTTTATTTCATTTATGGGTCATGCATGAAATAACTTCAATAATAATAATAATAATAATAATAATTAATAATAATAATTATAATAATTAATAATTAATAATTAATAATAATAATAATAATAATAATAATAATAATACATTCATGTGAGGAGCAGACGAACTGACAGACTCCCTTGGACAAAAAGGATGTAATCATTTTAGGCTTAAATAATGTTATATAAAATGGCAAATTCTAATGTTGTCTTTTAACATGGATGACAACAAACATCCATTTTATTTTTATTTCTCTGTATGCAAACACGTCACATGCTTACACAGGGGTCGTGCAATGCAAGTAACCAAGGTATAGCCGGATTACTGTGTGTGTGTGTGTGTGTGTGTGTGTGTGTGTGTGTGTGTGTGTGTGTGTGTGTGTGTGTGTGTGTGTGTGTGTGTGTGTGTGTGTGTGTGTGTGTGTGTGTGTGTGTGTGTGTGTGTCAGTGTTCTTAGTGACGTGTAACCTCTAATCCGCTCTAAGCCCAGGGCACCACAGAGGAGATGTCCATTAGTGTAATGTGCACATCTTCCACCTCTATATCCCCCACTGTCTCTCTCTCTTCCTCCCCCTCTCTCTCTCTCCTCCCCCTCTCTCTCTCTTCCTCACCCTCTCTCTCTCTTCCTCCCCCTCTCTCTCTCTTCCTCCCCCTCTCTTCCTCCCCCTCTCTCTCTCTTCCTCTCTTCCTCCCCCTCTTCCTCTCTTCCTCCCCCTCTCTTTCTTTCTCTCTCTACCCTATCCTGTCTTTTAGTTTTCCATCCTTCATGTCTACGCACTTAGTGCATCAAATACTGGTGGTGACATTGCACATTTGAACCATGGTAAAGAGTGGCAGAATTGATTTTATTATTGAAGTGACTGTTATTTTGTATATATTGATTGTTGTGCTTTTATGTATCTCTTAATGTGTGCATATGTATGAATGTGTCTGTTGATTGTGTATAGGATATCCATATTTGTATACATATTTTTATATACATTTGTAGGTTTGTATTCGGGATTGTCGGAAACGGTCCTGAATACAACCTTGTTAAAGCAGGAATACACAAAGTTTGCCTGTCTAAAATTGGCAATATGTTTTAATTAAATCTGTCAATATCTTATAAATAAAGATTATGAAGTTGACCAGGCTTTCTGTGCCAACCTTATAATACTCAACTGTTTTTGTGATATGTATATCTCGTGATCCTAGATGTCATTTTCAATCATTGGACTATGATAACCACACATCAAATTATGATGAGTGGGATCTCTCTGTCTGTACACACAAACTGAAAGATTGATGATTAAGTTGACTTAATTCCTGATTTAAACACTGATGATATGAGCAGATTTGTGCCACATAGAAAACAAAGCTGATTAGTTTAAATGAACACTACCCAAATCAAACTGCTCCACCTGCTCCATCCATCTGCTCAAAGATTGTTGGTCAACCCTGCCAGAGACTTTATGACTCAGCAGACCATAATAACATAATAATGTTTTCTCTCAGTGATTGTGATGTTATGTGAAATGTTTGTTGTTTGTTTATCATGTATTGTGTCTTGATATTTGTCTATGTTGATGCAAGTCAAATTTCAGACTTGATCTGACCATTAAAGTATTATCGTATCGTATCATAAGTACATTTACTCAAGTATTGCACTTTCTTTGGACATATTTTTAATTTACTTGAGTTTTTCCCTTGAAAGCTACTTTGTATTTGTACTCTACTACATTTTGGAGGCAAATATTTTACTTCTAACATATCAAAAACCCATGATATGCTGATGTGGTATAATGCAGTACTGTACTTCTAATCTAGACAGTATTATAAGATCTAAATTTGCTTCACATTGACAAACTACAATACTAAAATGCCGTTATATGTATACAAAAAGGATAATATAATAATATCATACTGTGAATAAACTGTGATCCATTCTGCACAAGGAGTACTTTTACTTGTACTTACATTAGAGTACATTTAGCTGTTTTACTTACATTTTGAATATAATGTTATTCTTAAATAGGTCATTGTGCAGAACGAGTACTTTTTGTACTTCAAGTATATTGAGAGGCCCTTTTCTACTTTTACCGAGGTAGCACTTCAAAATCAGGACTTTAGAGGAGTAGTTTAAGATCATAGTATTTGTACTTTTACGTAAATAAAGGATCTGAGTACTTCTTCCGACACTCACGAGTGGTCAGGATAAGCTCCCTGACCTCTAACCTTCCGGTGGAAAAGAGCAAGATAAAACACATTTTCATCAATTTATATTTCTATACAATAACATTATACTAAGTTTGTAAATTGCCTAATGTCACTTAGAGTAATAGCACCTACAGAGAGGTCTTCATATTGAATATATCTCCTGTAATCACATATCAGTGATATTTCAGTGTGATCATCCCTAAGAAAAAATGGTTTCTCTCCTAAAATAACGTTTTTTTTTTCAGTGTCTGCCTGAACCCAAAGCATGCATGCATATCATATATTTCACACATCAAAATAAAAACTTAAAGGTCACCTATCATGCTATTTTTAGGCAATAGCATAGGTCTCAGAGATATAAAAATATATAAAAAACATGTCTATGAAGTGTTTTGCTCAAAATACCAAACAGATCACCCATTCTAGCCATGCCTCATATCCCTCTATTTCACTTCCTGTTTCAAAAGTGCTGATTTGGGGTATAAAGCTTAAAAAAATAAAAAAAAGAGGGGCGGAGCTTATGTGGGAGATTCTACCGGCAGATACTGCCGTGATGAAACGCCATATCATGGATTATCAAGGATTCTTTCTGAAACAGTATGGAGCTCAAAGGCTTTCTCTCTTGCCGGTTATACCACAAGGTGAGTTCTTTTTTATTTCCTGCTTCTTCACACACATGCTCTCCAGTACAGGTTAGCTCTGAGTGTTAGCGATGCTAATGTAAACACCGACCATATTACGTCCAAAACAGTCGGGCATTGTTTCTGATAGCAACGTTTCTGATAGGGCCGTGGGTCTGCATCTCCGATATTACATCATATTGGCCGCAAATCTGGATCAGCTCCGTTGTAGCCCCGTTTTTAGAGATTTGGGTACGGAGGAAAAGAGAGAGGGTTTTATTTTCTGACGCTGCGTGAGTTCCCCGACACACCGGGGACACATGTTTATGTAGAAAAGACGTAAAAAAGTGCATTTTGCATGATAGGTCCCCTTTAATTAAGATGTTTTTTCTGCCTTAATCTCTCTCTTTTTGATGCAGGTAAAACTTGATTTTCTCTCCATGTTTGCAGTGATATGAGTATTCAGGAACACAGAAAGCAGGCTCAGTTTGGTCCTACAGTTATGATGGATTTATTGGCATTTTCCAAGGTTTTATTTTACAGTGATCATCACAGTCTGGAAAGGTTAAGAAGACATGAAACAAAAAAAGAGTGGCACTATATTGCAGATAAATATGAACCTCTCTTCTGTGTGGCCTAAATATGTAGCATGCGGTTTCCATATTAGGATTATTTTTGACTGAATAAATGAATAATTCAGCGTCTTCTGGCAGAAGATGGACATGCATAACACACTTAATGCACTAGATATTGCTAGGGTTGAATTGTGGGTAAAGCTGGGATGTAAAGAGGTTGTGACCCAACGTGTAACTTTGCAAAGGTTGTAATTAAACTATGACCTTTAGCAAAGCTCCTTTTCTTATCAATCAAAATGTTAGCTATTAATGTAAATGCCCAATATTTTCCTGATGGTTTGTCCCATCAACAAATTATGCACTGAGCCTCATGACGCAGATTTAATGAATTACAAAAAATCAATTAAATATTCAACCCTTTGCTTTTGAATTGGTCCGATTTAGCTTCCTGAGGAAAAAAATACATATTATACAATCAATGGCATCAAACTGCGTTAATACTGCCGCATCAATTGAGTTGTTAAAACAGTAATGCACTAACAGTCAGGAACAAAAAGCCATGTTTCTCCAAACGGCTCAAACTGAGTATCGGCAGAGTAATTGACTTTTAACAAGCTGTGAGGGACTGTATGTTCACTATATATTCACTGCAAATCACTGTGGCCTTTATCATGTATAGCATCACATATACTGACACTGGGGATACAGTTTATATTACACACAGACTTAAAAAAAGAATGATGAAGCAGACAGGATCTAGAAGCTCCATAAGAAGCACTATGTACAGAGTGATCAATGTGTAACAGAACTATAATTTATAACAAAATCAAAAGAGCGACAACACAGAACAACATTGACAACGATTTGGGAGGGAACGGAAGTGACGGGAGTTATTGAGATGAA